AGTAAATAGGTACCTGGGAGCTAGACAGCTGTTACGGACTGCTTCCTGGGGGGTGTGTGAAAACAAAAGTTTGTAGTAAGTAACAGTTAATTGATAGTTGAGAGGCGGGCCGAAAGAGTGGAACTCAACCCCCCGGAAGCACAACTAGGTGAATACAGCTAGGTGAATACACACACACACACACACACACACACACACACACACACACACACACACACACACACACACACACACACAAGGGAGCCGGTCGGCCGAGCGGACAGCATGCGGGACTTGTGATCCTGTGGTCCTGGGTTCGATCCCAGGCGCCGGCGAGAAACAATGGGCAGAGTTTCTTTCACCCTATGCCCCTGTCACCTAGCAGTAAAATAGGTACCTGGGTGTTAGTCAGCTGTCACGGGCTGCTTCCTGGGGGTGGAGGCCTGGTCGAGGACCGGGCCGCGGGGACACTAAAAGCCCCGAAATCATCTCAAGATAACCTCAAGATAACACACACACACACACACACCCTGGAGTCCATACCTAGTTAAACACAAGACAAAGCTAGAGAAGATTCAGCGGTATGCCACCAGGCTCGTCCCGGAACTGAGAGGATTGAGCTACGAGGAAAGGCTAAAGGAACTGAACCTCACATCCCTGGAAAACAGAAGAGTAAAGGGAGACATGATAACCACCTACAAAATTCTCAGGGGAATTGACAGGGTGGACAAAGACAAACTCTTCAACACGGGTGGGACACGAACAAGGGGACACAGGTGGAAGCTGAGTACCCAGATGAGACACAAAAACGTTAGAAAGAATTTTTTCAGTGTCAGAGTAGTTAATAAATGGAATGCACTAGGAAGTGATGTGGTGGAGGCTGACTCCATACACAGTTTCAAATGTAGATATGATAGAGCCCAGTAGGCTCAGGAACCTGAACACCAGTTGATTGACAGTTGAGAGGCGGGACCAAAGAGCCAAAGCTCAACCCCCGCCAGCACAATTAGGTGAGTACACACACAACTATTGTGTAACCCCAGATACATATTTACCGCCAACTGAACAGTGGCATCACATGAAAGGAACATTTCCCAATTGCTTCCCGTGAAGAAGTTGTCGTGACAAGTTTGGTGTAATACTTCTGAAATATTCTTTGAAATCAAGAATTTTTGTTTATGTATACATACCCGAGGGAACAGTATACATACCTGAGTATACATACGAGTATACATACCGGTATACATGTATGAACAGTATGTATGTATGTATACTGTTCATATATACCGGTATACCGGTATGTATGAACAGTATACATACGAGTATACATACTGGAGTGACAGTATTGGGCGCTGCCCAATACTGTCACTCTTGTACAGGCAACAGCACGCACAGCGTTACGGGCAGGTCCTTCATGTGCCCTGGGATACGACCCGCCAAATCGTTGAACAACCAGGTACCCGTTCACTGCTGGGTGAACAGAGGCTACAGTTATGGATTCGCGCCAAGTCAATCATCCCCGGCCAGGATACGAACCTCAGGCCAAATCACTCGCGACGCATGGAGGAGAGTGTCTTACCACTGCACCACAGAGACGGTTCACTTCACGGTTATATGTTAAAGGTAAAGGCACAGCAAAGGTACTTGCTGTAGGCAGGATACAGTGTGCTGCACCCTCCCACCACAGTCTAATGAATCTGGTCTCATTAGACCATCCCGTCATCCTGATAGAACGTCGCATTTTGGACGTATACTCTTCCTAAGGCCAAAAAATTGTCGTACTACAAAACGGTAGCGGCTCGTGAAATGTTCCTACTGTCCCGTTTTCTGTTTTGGGTCCTCGGGTTGGTTAGGATTAGGGCACTTTAGTACGGCAGTTTCTTGACGCTGGGAAACCTTAGGAGGACGGGCAGATTAGAGAGCATTAGTGTCCCCTGGAGAGTATTGATCAAGGTGGTTGTGACTCTGGTTATCAATGGTCAACACTGCCTCTCATACCAATCATTATAAATAAATATAATGCCATCAATTATTGAGCATTTGGGTTACCATGATATATTAACTACACAGGGACAAATATAACTAAATCTGAATGTTACTTGCATCTAAATGATTTTTTTAAACAAACATTTTATTGTAAAACAGAGTCTCTCTTGTGTGTATTATCTATCTATCTTTACTGTGTATTATCTATCTATCTTTACTGTGTATTGGTTAGTGTTACGGTCCAGCTGCCCTCTACAGTGTGTGTGTGTATCTACCTAGTTGTGCTGGCGGGGGTTGAGCTCTGCTATTTCGGCCCGCCTCTCAACTGTCAATCAATCAACTGTTACTAACTACTAGCTTTTTTTTTCTACACACACACACACACACACACACACACACACACACACACACACACACACACACACACACACACACACACACACACACACACACACACACACACACACACACACACATACACACACACACACGCACACACATACACACACACACACACACACATACACACACACACACGCACACACACACACACACACACACACACACACACACACACACACACACACACACACACACACACACACACACACACACAGGCTGACCCAATACACAGTTTTCAATGTAGATAGAGCCCAGTAGGCTCAGGAAACTGTTTACCAGTTGATTGACGGTTGAGAGGCGGGACCAAAGAGCCGAAGCTCAACCCCCGCAAGCACAAATGGTGAGTACAAATAGATGAGTACACACACACACACACACATACATACACACACACAAAAGGTACAGGGTCTGGTATCTGAGTGGACAGCACGCGGGACTCGTAATCCTGTTGCTCGGGTTCGATTCCCGGCGCCGGCAAAGACAAATGAGCTTCAGGGACAGGTCTGGCGTGATATCAACCCCCAGGTCTTTCTCTCTCTCTGACTCTTGAAGTATTTTATCTCCCAAATGATACCTTGTATCTGGCCTCTTGCTCCCTACGCCTATCTTCATTACATTACATTTGCTTGGGTTAAACTCTAACAACCACTTGTTCGATCATTTTTTTCAGTTTGTCGAGGTCTTCTTGAAGCCTCAAGCAGTCCTCCTCTATCTTAATCCTTCTCATAATTTTGGTATCGTCAGCAAACATTGAGAGGAATGAGTCTATACCCTCCGGGAGATCAGAAACAGGATAGGACAGAGTACAAAGCCCTGTGGGACTTCACTGGTGACTTCACGCCAATCTGAGGTCTCACCCCTCGCTGTAACTCTCCTATCCTGCTTATGTACCAGCCTCTTTTGGGGTACTGTGTCAAAGGCTTTCCGACAGTCCAAGAAAATGCAGTCCCCCCAGTCTTCTCTTTCTTGCTTAATCTTTGTCACCTGGTCGTAGAACTCTACTAAGCCTGTAAGGCAAGATTTACCCCTCCCTGAACCCATGTTGGCGATTTGTCACGAAGTCTCGTCTCTCCAGATGTGTTACTAGGTTTTTTCTCACAATCTTCTCCATCACCTTGCATGGTATACAAGTTAAGGACACTGGCTTGTAGTTCAGTGCCTCTTGCCTGTCACCCTTTTTGTATATTGGGACCACATTAGCCGTCTTCAATATTTCTGGTAGGTCTCCCGTCTCCTGTGACCACTATAGAGAGCGCCAAGCAAAGTGCCTCTGCACACTTTTTCAATGCCCATGGTGAGATCCCGTCTGGACCAATTCCCTTTCTCACATCTAGATCCAGCAGGTGTCTCTTGACCTCATCTCTCGTAATTTCGAACCCTTCCAAGGCCGCCTGGTTTACTGCCCCCTCTCCTAGCGCAGCGACCTCACCTTGTTCTATTGTGAAGACCTCCTGGAACCTCCTGTTGAGTTCTTCAAACACCTCTTTGTATTTCTCTGTATACCTGTCCTCGCCTGTTCTAAGTTTCATTACCTGTTCTTTCACTTTTATTTTTCCTCCTGATGTGACTGTGGATTAGCTTTGGTTCGGTCTTGGCTTTGCTTGCTTTATTATATTCATAATTTTTCTCTGCTGCTCTTCTCACCCTGACGTACTCATTCCTGGTTCTCTGGTATCTCTCTCTGCTTTCTGGTGTTCTGATATTTCTGAAGTTCCTCCACGCCCTTTTGTTCAGTTCCTATGCTTCCATACATGCCCTCTTAAACCATGGATTCTTCTTTTGCTTCTTGGATTTTTCCTTTTGGGCCAGGATAAACTTGCTTACTGCCTCCTGACACTTTTGGGTGACATAGTTCATCATATCTTGTACAGACCTAACTCTGAGTTCTGTGTCCCATGGTATATCCCTTAGGAAACTTCTCATCTCCTCATAATTTCCCTTTCGGTATGCAAGCCTTTTGTTTCCTAGTTCTTTTCGGGGGGGGGGGGGGGGGGAGATAATTCCTAGCTCTACCAGGTACTCAAAGATCAATACACTATGGTCACTCATTCCCAAGGGTGCTTCCAACTTAACCTCCCTTATATCCCACTCATTTAGGGTAAATATCAGATCAAACATGGCTGGTTCATCTTCCCCTCTCATTCTTGTCGATCTTCGTGTGTTTGTGTGTGTGTGTGTGTGTGTGTGTGTGTGTGTGTGTGTGTGTGTGTGTGTGTGTGTGTGTGTGTGTGTGTAGGCGTAAATATCTAGCCGTTCGTAGTGTGTGCGTATATGTGTACTTGCGTGCATGTCTGTGTGTACGTGCGTTGCAAGTGCATGTGTGCACATGCGCGCGTGAGCGTAATCGCGAGCGAGTAGGGACAGCGGATGCTAACTACTTTACTGCAGTTAACTCCCCCTTATAAAAAGTCACACAAATTGGTGTATTAATTTACAAATACAACCTGCTAAATTTTTTTATTTCACAACACCCATTTGTCTGGAACAAACACCATTGTTTTTCAAGAGTGAACCCAACACACGTGTTTGACATGGTGAGCTCCGGAGGCGGGATAATTGGTTGTTAACCTACCGCCCCTCCTCACTCTTATCACCTTGTAAACAGGGGCAAAAACTGGTCGTGGAATACCTACCATGGCTGTTGGCGGAGGTGGCTGGCTTGTCTGTGAGTCTGAGACACAGAAACGCGGGAATATGGCTCATCAAGTGAGAAATGGAACACGAAATTGATCGCTAGGTCCCGCTGTTGTGTTCCCTACCTCCACTGCCGCGCTCTGCTGCCGGCTATGTTATCAACATCTCGTACGCCTCAGCTACCGTCCTTTTCCCAAACAATTACCGTATGTGAATCAGTTTTATTTATTATTTTATTAGTAACATCAAATATAAAAGAAATATAATACATTTTTTCTCAAAATTAGAAGTACAAAGGAAGAATCGAAATGTTTATATAATCGTGTGTCTGGCAGCGACGGCGCAGCATCCCTATGGCTCCTCTCTTGAAGGTGAGACCTTACAGCATCCACCAACAGATGGCGCTCACAATGGACTACCACAAGACCTGTGCCACATACCAGCGTCCTCGTGGGTCTAATGGGTAGTGCAACCGTAATGCACGAACGTAATTATTTGCTAAAAAATACTAGATCTTGAATTGCAGAATGACGACCTTTTTTTTAGCAATTAGGTAGATAGGTAGATTAATTTGGAGCCTCGGAGAACACCATTTGCTGCAGCGAACTCGAGGGCTCGTGGGTGTAGGGACCTCACGTTTGTGGCAAGTGGAGCTATGTAAGATTATATTATATGACATAGCAACGAAAATCTGTCAACATCAAACTACGATTAATGAGGCATAAGCACTCACAGGTTGAGTGACGCTGCCCCAATACTTTCACTATGGCGGTGTGTCCACTCACAGGTTGAGTGACGCTGCCCCAATACTTTCACTATGGCGGTGTGTCCACTCACAGGTTGAGTGACGCTGCCCCAATACTTTCACTATGGCGGTGTGTCCACTCACAGGTTGAGTGACGCTGCCTCAATACTTTCACTATGGCGGTGTGTCCACTCACAGGTTGAGTGACGCTGCCCCAATACTTTCACTATGGCGGTGTGTCCACTCACAGGATGAGTGACGCTGCCCCAATACTTTCACTATGGCGGTGTGTCCACTCACAGGTTGAGTGCAGCTGCCCAATACTGTCACTGTGACGGTGTGTCCACTCACAGGATGAGTGGCGCTGTCCAATACTGTCACTATGGCGGTGTGTCCACTCACAGGATGAGTAGCGCTGCCCAATACTGTCAGTATGGCGGTGTGTCACTCACAGGATGAGTGACGTTGCTCAATACTGTCATTATGGCGGTGTGTCCACTCACAGGATGAGTGACGGTGCCCAATACTGTCACTATGACTGTGTGTCCACTCACAGGATGAGTGACGCTGCCCAATACTGTCACTATGGCGGTGTGTCCACTCACAGGTTGAGTGCAGCTGCCCAATACTGTCACTATGGCGGTGTGTCCACTCACAGGATGAGTGACGCTGCCCAATACTGTCACTATGGCGGTGTGTCCACTCACAGGATGAGTGACGCTGCCCAATACTGTCACTATGGCGGTGTGTCCACTCACAGGATGAGTGACGCTGCCCAATACTGTCACTATGGCGGTGTGTCCACTCACAGGATGAGTGACGCTGCCCAATACTGTCACTATGACGGAATGGTCAACTCACAGGATGAGTGACGCTGCCAAATAATGTCACTATGGCGGTGTGTCCACTCACAGGATGAGTGACGCTGCCCAATACTGTCACTATGGCGGTGTGTCCACTCACAGGATGAGTGACGCTGCCCAATACTGTCACTATGACGGAATGGTCAACTCACAGGATGAGTGACGCTGCCAAATAATGTCACTATGGCGGTGTGTCCACTCACATGATGAGTGACGCTGCCCAATACTGTCACTATGGCGGTGTGTCCACTCACAGGATGAGTGACGCTGCCCAATACTAGAAGAGGATACACAAACTCAAATCACTGACTCAGGGGTACAGATCCGTGTGAGACCTCCACTGTTGAGATCTCACCACTGTGAGATTTCCTCCCATCACAGCAGTAACTCCCTACCTAGAAGACTGAGAGAAACAGAGCACCACAGTCCATTACTGTTGACCCCTGTTGACCCCTGTTGACCCAACAGTAATTAGCGGGTCGTGTTCCAGGGGTAAACTAGTGCGCTGTGAGCTCCTAATGGCCTGTACCCACCAGGATAATACCTGCCCGGTATGATTCATCTTCCTAAATTACTTTCAGGAAACTGCCCGTCAAAGCTTTAGACAAATAGATCTATCTTCCTCACAAGTTTACATCGATAGACAATCCACCCTCACAAGTTTACATCGATAGATAATTCACTCTCACAGATTTACCTAGATAGATAATCCACCCTCACAGGATTACATCGATAGATAATCCACCCTCACAGGATTACATCAATAGATAATCCACCCTCACAGGATTACATCGATAGATCATCCACCCTCACAGGATTACATCGATAGATCATCCACCCTCACAGGATTACATCGATAGATAATCCACCCTCACAGGATTACATCAATAGATAATCCACTCTCATAGGATTACATCGATAGATAATGCACCCTCACAGGATTACATCGATAGATAATGCACCCTCACAGGATTACATCGATAGATAATCCACCCTCACAGGATTACATCAATAGATAATCCACTCTCATAGGATTACATCGATAGATAATGCACCCTCACAGGATTACATCGATAGATAATGCACCCTCACAGGATTACATCGATAGATAATCCACCCTCACAGGATTACATCGATAGATCATCCACCCTCACAGGATTACATCAATAGATAATCCACTCTCATAGGATTACATCGATAGATCATCAACCCTCACAGGATTTATGGGAGAACATTCTCGATCCTTCTTCCATCATATTATTTGCTGTGATGAATACATTTTCCTCATCATGATTTTCTCTGCAAGACTCATCACATGAGGTCACTCATCCCCCACATACCACATACCGGGAGGGGACACTCATCCCTCACATACCACATACCGGGAGGGACACTCATCCCCCCACATACCACATACCGGGAGGGACACTTAATTCACCCTTAACACAAGCTACCACAGTGAACACTTCCCCAACATGCCCCAGTACCACAGAGAACACTTCCCCAACATGCCCCAGTACCACAGTGAACACTTCCCCAACATGCCCCAGTACCACAGAGAACACTTCCCCAACATGCCCCAGTACCACAGAGAACACTTCCCCAACATGCCCCAGTACCACAGAGAACACTTCCCCAACATGCCCCAGTACCACAGAGAACACTTCCCCAACATGCCCCAGTACCACAGTGAACACTTCCCCAACATGCCCCAGTACCACAGTGAACACTTCCCCAACATGCCCCAGTACCACAGAGAACACTTCCCCAACATGCCCCAGTACCACAGTGAACACTTCCCCAACATGCCCCAGTACCACAGTGAACACTTCCCCAACATGCCCCAGTACCACAGTGAACACTTCCCCAACATGCCCCAGTACCACAGTGAACACTTCCCCAACATGCCCCAGTACCACAGAGAACACTTCCCCAACATGCCCCAGTACCACAGAGAACACTTCCCCAACATGCCCCAGTACCACAGTGAACACTTCCCCAACATGCCCCAGTACCACAGAGAACACTTCCCCAACATGCCCCAGTACCACAGTGAACACTTCCCCAACATGCCCCAGTACCACAGAGAACACTTCCCCAACATGCCCCAGTACCACAGAGAACACTTCCCCAACATGCCCCAGTACCACAGTGAACACTTCCCCAACATGCCCCAGTACCACAGAGAACACTTCCCCAACATGCCCCAGTACCACAGTGAACACTTCCCCAACATGCCCCAGTACCACAGTGAACACTTCCCCAACATGCCCCAGTACCACAGTGAACACTTCCCCAACATGCCCCAGTACCACAGTGAACACTTCCCCAACGTGCCCCAGTACCACAGAGAACACTTCCCCAACATGCCCCAGTACCACAGAGAACACTTCCCCAACATGCCCCAGTACCACAGTGAACACTTCCCCAACATGCCCCAGTACCGGAGAGAACACTTCCCCAACATGCCCCAGTACCACAGAGAACACTTCCCCAACATGCCCCAGTAACACAGAGAACACTTCCCCAACATGCCCCAGTACCGGAGAGAACACTTCCCCAACATGCCCCAGTACCACAGAGAACACTTCCCCAACATGCCCCAGTACCACAGTGAACACTTCCTCAACATGCCCCAGTACCGGAGAGAACACTTCCCCAACATGCCCCAGTACCACAGAGAACACTTCCCCAACATGCCCCAGTACCACAGTGAACACTTCCTCAACATGCCCCAGTACCACAGAGAACACTTCCCCAACATGCCCCAGTACCACAGAGAACACTTCCCCAACATGCCCCAGTTCCGGAGAGAACACTTCCCCAACATGCCCCAGTACCGGAGAGAACACTTCCCCAACATGCCCCAGTACCGGAGAGAACACTTCCCCAACATGCCCCAGTACCACAGAAAACACTTCCCCAACATGCCCCAGTACCACAGAGAACACTTCCCCAACATGCCCCAGTACCACAGAGAACACTTCCCCAACATGCCCTAGTACCACAGTGAACACTTCCCCAACATGCCCCAGTACCACAGAGAACACTTCCCAAACATGCCCCAGTACCACAGAGAACACTTCCCCAACATGCCCCAGTACCACAGTGAACACTTCCTCAACATGCCCCAGTACCACAGAGAACACTTCCCCAACATGCCCTAGTACCACAGTGAACACTTCCCCAACATGCCCCAGTACCACAGAGAACACTTCCCAAACATGCCCCAGTACCACAGAGAACACTTCCCCAACATGCCCCAGTACCACAGTGAACACTTCCTCAACATGCCCCAGTACCACAGAGAACACTAGTAGTAGGGTGTAAGCGCCACAGGTACCTTTTTTTTTCGGAGGAAATTCGTCTGTGGGCCCCAAGGGTTTCAGGTAAATTTGGGGAGTCACAGATTTGGAATTAGGGAATTCTTATAATGAAAAATAATGGCATACGAGTTTGTTAAAGTTCTTATGAGAAAAATAATTTCCGAGACATAGAAGTTTGTTAAGGCCTTATGGGAGAAATTCAAGTAACGTATGTAGCGCTTTAGGGTTTCCAGGAGAACTCTACGGACATGTTTTACATGTTTTCAACTTAGAAAAATCGTCTATGTAAGCCTTAGTTATTCATATAAATTTAGAAAATCACCTGTGTAAGTCAGGGTTTTCAAGTCTCGTACATCACACCCCCCTCCCTCCCCCCTTACCTCGCAATCTCTCGCGTCACCATTATTTACCTTACGCCCGGACAGCCAGTCGGCTCTTAATCTTATCTTATCTTCATAATATCTGGACCGTCCCTCCTCTCTCTCTCTCTCTCCTCTTCATATTATTCCCTCTTCCTATTTTCTGACATACTAATATTTTATTCCTTTTTCATTAACAGTCAGTTTTATACAAATCAACCGAAGCATCTCAATGTAACCTTTAATACTGAAAACTGCCTCAGAGACTATCTAAGCTGGCCCCAGCTACCTGCCCCAGGCTATCTGCCCGAGGCAATCATCACCTGATTACCTGCCCCAGACATCCACCAGTCATTGTCGGCATTCGCCACCGTAATAATTTATATATATACATTAAGCGTTAATAAAACTTATTTATTTATTTATAATTTATTTAGTCATCTAATTCATAGTTTACACAATTTATAATAAACGACTCATTTAGCCCTAAGTTCTAAGAAGCTCGCTCCTCAATCCGCTTGTATAATATCCGTCCTATTCACTCCTCATCTCTGTAAATAAAGAATAACAGTTTCAGATAGCGTTTACACATGTACAATATTTATCATACACATAAAACCTCAAAACAAATGTACTCACCATTTTTCCGTTAGATAATTTGTTATAGCCTCATTCAGCCAGTCGTCTCCAAGCACATTTTCCAACAAATATCGCTCTTATCATAACACAACGTTTCATAGCAGCTCGGCATATTTTTAAATAAAGCATAAGATAGCCTCATTACGTTCCTATCATTCTGCATATATTCTCCATAAGTAAAACTAGTTTCAAATAGCTTTATTGCTGTTTTTAGATCCTTGTTTGAAAGATGGTAACAGAAAAACATCGCATATAGCCCGCATACGTAAGTATTTAAACTCTGAAGTCTCTCTGTAAACGTGTATACATCACAGTCTTTATAATAATTTAAAAACTCCGAAATATATGGCGAATACACATTTATTCCATATGAATCAAGTATAACTATTTTCTGTTTAGATTTATATACAGCAATCCAGTGACCCATTACTTCCTTAGAGTCTCTTCCTAAGGTATTTATTATAAACATAATCGGTCTGTCCCGTATTTGCTTCATTATTCTATATATATCCGTCGCTAAATAGCATCCAATATATTTAGCTTTACTACCTTTCATATCGTTCAATGCCGTATTAATTTGTTTGCAGTTCATGCTCTTGTATCACACACAACTCGCCTATCCGAATAAATTCTCAATACTCCCGTTGTAATTCCGAATAAAATAATAACTTTATTTGATTTCGCTGGAACAGCAAATTCTAATGTAATTCTCAGGTTGCCCGAAGCCTCTATAGGAAGGGTATCTCTCAATTCCTCAGGCGTTAGTCTAAATGCCAGTAATGTTCTTCCTTTTATAAATGAATTATATGTCAAGGTATTGCAAGCATTAAAGCCTACTGTATTTTGAGTCTCGTAGTATAGTTTCGAACATTTATTCGGGAACTTGCAAGTTATATTAAATAAGTTTGTCCCATCACGTGTAATATATACATTAGATAAATCGCAGTGATCGAAATAAAGTGGATTAAGTGTATACGCTCCTGATATTGCTTCCATATCCATCATCATAATAAATAATTTATCTGGGATAATGCTCCCCCATGGCTGGTCAATACTTAATCTCTGCTGCCCATTACCGAGAATGAACGTCTTATGGAGTGTCTTATCAAACGTATATGTAACTGGTGTATTTTGTTCAGCCAGAGCTCTATTAATAGCCTCCAATCCAGATGCAAATGGAGTTATCCGATCAATCCACATTCTAGCTAGTTTTATGTTAAACTTATATCCAGATTCAATACTGTTTATAACCCACGGATCACTGTTAAGTTCTAATCTCAAACGAATATCAATTCCATCCAAAAGATATTCGCTCAAAGTTGTAATGTCCAATAGCAGTTTAAAGCAACAATTTACTCCCTCAGTTTTTAACTTTACAAATCTAGATTTAAGGTCTTCTGAGGCATTCTTAAAATAATCTACATCATATTTTTCAGGGAAAACATCATTATAGAAATACGTCAGTTCTTTAAATCTTTCAGCTTTACATTCAGAAAGCGTCGTCATTAGCTTTACATATGATAAATATGAAAATAGTGAATTAGTTTCCACCACTTGCTCATTTAAATAAACAGTTACAGCTTTAAACATTGTCTGGGACAAGCCATTAACTATTGATGCATTTTTAATATCCGCTAAAGCCGTAATTCCGTCAGGTCCCGTTAATTCAACCATCAGTTCTAGCGTCAAGCTCGAAAGATCAATAAATTGACCCTTAACTCCCGGGATACGAAATTCAATATAAGAGTCTTTAAATTTATTGTTAATACTTGAATTCACAGGTAAAATATCCTGTGTCTGTCTTGAAAATATCGTACTTTCAACCATTCTATGAGGACTAACTTTAGGAAAGCCATCGCTTATAGCAGCTGTATAATTTTCTAAAGGAACTTGCAATGCTGCACTAGGAGCATTTACACTCATCATGTCTGCGTCTAGCATACAACTAGTACTGTTTTTATGAAAACACATCTTTATATCTATCCATTTTCTTTATATAGGCAGGTCTTTTCGTTTTTCTTTTCGTTATTCGGCCACCTGCTAACAATTTAGGACCTATACTTTTCAATGTTTCCATACCGCGTTTTCTAATTGAATCTTTCAAAGTACCTTGACCAGCATTTATATCCTGCAAAACATTCTGTCCCATTGTCAATGCTGCTGGCATAATAGTTTTTAATAGGAAAGGAGTTGCTCTACGAGCTAGACCAGTTAAGAAACTTAATATTCCACCTCCTCTTAAATGTCTTCTATCAAAAACAGTAATATCGCCCAGTGCTCCGCCTCTCTTCCCTCGAGGAGCGATAAATCGCCAAACCTCGTCAACAGACAGCGGTACAAACCCGACCCTCATGTTTAAACAGGCCAAGAGAGAATGATAAACTCCCTCTACTCATGCCATTATATATCAACGGGTCTAATATGTAATACTGCAATCGTACATCCATCCTTTTCAAAATATACAGGCTCCCCATCTTGATCTGTTAATCTAATACTGATGCCATCAATATTAGTCGTATTTAAAGGTTTATATAATTTCCTGTGTGTTACATTACTTTGAAACGAAACAACATCCAAGATATTTACAATCTGATTACCAAACATGGTGGGCTGCACCTTATCACAATATACACACAAGAAATCTATACGGCCTCCTGGCCTAGGATGATAATAGCAAGTATCTTGTACAAATAACCTGTTATTAGGTGGCTTATTCATAATAAAAATATCATAGGCTTTACCTACTTCAGCTCCAATAACTTTACATATATTTCGACCGAAAGATAAAGAAATTCGAACAACTAATTTTCCATCCTTTGTAATAAATAATTTTAACAACTTCTCACTAAATGCTGCATTAAACTTAATTCGATTAATACTCGAATCATATTTCATATAAACGTCCCCGTGATCTGGGAAATTATAATTAAGTACGGGTCCTATAAAACTCAGTGAACCTTTTGAAAATATAGTAGAAATTTCTCTATTTAAAATAGTCGTTAGCTCTATGCAATTATCACTGGCTAAAATATCCGACTTTAAAGTGAAAGATGTATTCACCGTACTCAAATCAGATAAATTTTTATTAGACACTAGAAGTTGAACTGAAATAAAACTTTCCGGGTCATTCCTCCTAACAGCGAAATAAGATGGAGGCAGGAATATATTCTTCAGGCACACTTCATA